TTAAGACGACCCACCAAAGACAAAAGAACAGGAAATTGAGGGAAAAACATGTATTAAAAGGGAAGTTAAGTGTATAGAACTCAAGATGCCCTAGGATTAAAGTTGCATAAATTAGACAAGAAGTTAGGAAAACCAAGATTTCCTTCCTACATTTTTAGATTCAAAATCTTAGAAATTCATACTCTTTCGTGTGATTTTAATATAAACAGCTTGCTTACCCCCCTTCAGATTCCAGGGTATTTAGGGGCCAATCTGAGAACAGCGAAAACGACACGTCTGCTACAACAAGAGAGGCTGCCCAAGTCGATTCAGACACAAAGGCCGTAGCCCAGCAATTTGGGTCAATTGACTCACAAGAAGCGAGAAAAAAGCCACCAGCCAGCCGACAACAAAAAGATGAAATAAAACTTGTTCTCAACGCTGCTCTGACAACAATAATAACTGCAAAAAAAAAAAGAGCAGAAAATCTAGAGAAGCGATGGTCAGAGATAAAAATCCGCCCAATATATGTGCCAGTCTATATATCTAATCAATAGAAAAATAGGAAATGAAAATCAGAAAAAACGAAGCTTGTCGCATAAATCACTCAAAACTGTCGTCAACTGCATTTATTTATGACTGGCCAATGGATACTAAAACTAAAAAAAAAGAAGAAAAACAAAGAGGAAAAGCGGCAGCAGTCCTCAAATCGATTTACAACTTAATTCGAACTGAAAGCCAAGTCAAAGATAATACATAATTTAATTGGTTGATGGAAAAAGTGGGCGAAGTCTGCGGCAAAAGTTCCCTGGAATTGGAGATGGGGCTTCCCTTTTCCTTCCCCTTCCTTGGAAAAACAGAAAGAGGATCCCAAAGAAAAACATATGGTGGGGGGGAAAAGGTAGAAACCTGCTCCATATGTGGGCATAACTTACTCTTTATATCTTGTTGCTGGTAAATTACTTGTTTATTGACAATATGTTAACACTTATTTATAGACTGTTTTTCTTTTTTGTGGCTGCCTACTCGGGCAATTAAACAAGTTAACAAAATGATAATATTGTCAATTTAGTGCTGATTGCATTCATAAACTCGGGGATTTGTTAATGGCCTGCGCTGTGCTACTATTTTCACAGAAAGTGCATTTTTATGGTTTCATTTGACAGACAAGTAGTGTCTTTCAGTTCAGTAGTTCTTTTAATGGCTTTCTCTTACATTTTAACAGAATGTTTTTATAACAAGTTTCTTGTTTTTTAAACTTAAATAGTCATCAACTTTAACATTTAGTTAAAGGTGATTCATTATAAACAAAAAACTTAAATCATTAAGACATTCTCCTTCCCACTTTTAATCACCTTTAAATTGTCCAAACTTTCTGGCTATCTTCTCCCCCAAGCTCTCTTGTTTAGTTTTTTTTTTGACAAAAAGTGAAAAAGAAAACCTGGTTAGGAAATTAAAGAATTTTCGCAACTTTTTTGGTCACCTGCCTTGGCATCTTTCAGCAAATTATGCAAAGGAAAATGCAGCAATCGGCATCGCACCAAAAATAGTGGAAAACCTGAGAGGAAAATTGTTCAACTTCATGACTGAGGCTATCTTCTTCTTTTGTTTGCTGTTTTTCCACGCTTTTCCGCCACACTTTTTTGGATTCATTCAAGCAGAGGTTTTGAGGGTTCGCCAACGTCTTTTCTTCGTAGCCCGCTTTGTATCTATAATCACTTAGTCATTGTTTTGTTGTTGCTAACTTTTTGCGCATTAATTACAAGTATTTCCTTGTTACGTTGTTTAATTAACTTGGCCAAGTGCTGCCATATATATATAACCACAACCGCAATCGACCCACTAACATTTATCACAAAGCCCAAGATAAACTTACCTTGGGCCTAATGAAATCATTTCAAATTGCCCTGCAGCGACATCTCTTATCAAACTGGGTGGAGTAGGAGGTGGGAGTGTGCAGTTTATAAATAAGTGAGAATTACGAATGATTTGTGATTCATTAGGTTTATGGCCCATCCATTGGGAGACGTCACACGACCATTATTGGCTGACAATCGGCAACCGTTTTAGGCCAAGAAAGCTGCTGCTCCTCAAACCGACTGCATCTTAAATGGCTTGTCAATAGTGGGAAGTGACGAACTTTTCGAATCTTCAAGCTTGATGTTGACTCAATTGATTTGCAGATTGTCTAATTGCTTGGCTGACTTGTTTAACTTAGCGATTGTGTTTTAGGTATCGAGTAAGTAGTAGTAGCAGTAGAAGTTAATTGGGCGTGACGAAGCAAGTCAATGAACAAATTAACAAATTAAGATTATTTCAGGGTAGTAAGATTGTATCTTTATACTAAACTAACATCTTAAATTTAACTTTTAACACCTTCAACACTTTAACCCAACACCATGTTCGTTGCAAAACTTAAACTCATCCCCCACTTGCCAGTTGATTGGCAATCTTTCAGCACTCTTTCCACTCGACAAATTGATTAGGTTTTTCCAAGTTTCCTTCCACGCTTTCTCCTCTTGAAACTCTCTGACTATTTTATAAGTCGTCAAAATCAATTTACCAACACTGGAATAGTTAGCCCCGAGACAAACAGCCGCAGCAGCTCTTCGGCCAGCAAATTGACATTGTTGCAGTTGAAAGCTTTTCAGTCGCCTTGAACCTCAATCATATTTTATTCAGCGGAAAAACTACAAAAAGTAAAAGCGTGAGGGTAAACTTTGTTTCTAAGGAGAGGGCGGGTTGGTAGAGTGTGGTGAGGAGAAGGAAATTGGCCAAGCACCAAAAGCAGGAAAAGTGTGCTTAAGAGGTAAAAGAGGAAAGGTGAAAGAGTCCTATTAATGCATTTTTCAATTTCCCGCAAAATGTGGCTTAAATGAGGCAAAGTTCTTATTAAATTTCCTTAAGATGGAAGTCAACGAAGTGAAGAAGCATTAGGTCTGTGATTTTTCTCTAATAGTATAAAGTTTAAGTTGAACTTAAATTTATTTAACAAATTTAAATCATAAATTAACATTATTTTTCTTTTATCTCTTACAGCTTGCCGCCCTCGAAACCAAAAGCCAATTGCAACAAATGCTTCCAAGTTCAAATTAAACAAAAATTCTAAACTTGCCATAAAAAAAATATACAAAAAATTACTATTAAAATATAACAAAAAAAACTGCCAAATTTTAAAATCAAATGCAGCCAGCTCAAAAGTATGCAGTGGATTTTGTAAGCTTTGAGCGCAACTCAAAGCGAATTTTCTGAGCAAGACTAAATGCTCAAAGCTGCACTCAGCGGTTTCAGCAACCGACCAGCGCTCGCGTATAAGTGATTTGCGCTGGTTCGAAACTCGACTGGTGAGCGAGAAAGAGACGGCCAGAACGACGTACCACAATAATCATGGACGCTCCAGATGTGGGACGCATTATAAGAGCGCCGGCGAGGCGCAAACGCAACGATGAGCAATTAATGGATAGGGTGAGTAAAATTGCCATTTTTTGTTTCAAATTTTAAAAGGCTTTTGACATTCTAGAGTATAAGAGTGTGTTACATATATGAATACCCCTAGATCTCAGGATCTTTTAAGGGTTCTGTAAACAAATTTGGTATGCGAACTGGTAAAAAATAAACCTTAAACAAAATGTGCATACTTCCAGTTTTGTCTATTTCAATACTAAAATGCAATATGATCTCCAATATTTTTTATATTTATTATACACCCAACACTCCACAAAGCCATGTTTATGAGAAATATTTTTGTTTAATCGCAAATCATTAATTTCCGCTGCCCTTTCATCGACTTCGATCATTGTTTGTAAACAGCCTTAAAGTCAGTTTAGTTGGGAAGTTTGTCACTGTCGAATTCCGCTTAGATGAGCGACCGCCTGCAGTGCATATGATCCAGTTTTCCAAACGGTTTTTGTTTATCTTCTTGGCTCGAATTGGAAAATGGAAAGTTTCGCTGCATTCATTCGAACTTCGCCCACAAAAAAATGCCACTCGAATGGGTTAAGTCATTTATTTTTATATATTTTTTTCGATTGTTATAATTTATTTTGTTTTTCATCTGTCTGGGTTTTGATTAATTTGCTGGAATGCCACAAAAGTATTTTCCTATTGAAAATGCTGAGCGATCATGAGTTGGCGTTGGTTTGGGGGTTTTTTAATTGAAATTAGTTGGTTGAGAAAGTTGTTAGTTAGGGAAATACAAAAAAAAAACCGCTAAAGGAATGTTATTGATGAAGGAAAAACTCATTTTCATATTTGAAAAAAAAGCCTAAAACTTGGTATTTAAATTACCTGCCATCATCAAAATTGCAATTAATAAAACCAACCGACCAACCACAAGAAACTGCACATATCATTTGCTTAAAGTTACACCCCAGCTAATTAGGCATCGTCACAAAAAATGCTCATCAATCATCTCCTGCGATTGTCATTCCATCGACCCACATTCCACCCCACACCACCCACCGAGTGAATAAGTTCATTAACCATTCCACACCCGCACACTTCCAAACTTAGGTTCCAAAAAAACAGAGGCTAACCCACAATTAAAGAGCGCTCGAATTTCACGCAATTAGTAAAACAAAACAATTGCATTGTTTAATGTCAAGTTCAATGCACGCAGCAAACCAGCAAACACCCACCCACCCACAGCAAAGCCTATTAAATAATAAACAAAAATCGAAGGCAATTATGAGTCTTGAAAGAGAAACCAAAAAAGGAGAAAGAGTTAACATGACAAAGTGATAAATGGTAAGAGAGGAAGAGAAAGCCTTTCATGCTCTGCGAAAGCTTTCAAGTGGTGACCTCTTCGTTAGCGAAATATTATAAAATTTACACTGCGAAGAAATAGGGAAACCAATTATGGATTTTAGATGAATTTGTTATATAATTTTTAATGAAAAAACCATCAAAATCGTAGATCTTAAATTTAAATTCAGAATTTTACTCTTAATAAGACTCTTAATATTTTTATTAATATTTATAAATTATTTTACTTAACCATAAAATTATTTTAATAGGATAATTAACAAAGATAGAGGTTTATTTTAACTTTACAATTAATAATTTATAAAAAAAAACAATTAATGTTTCTTTAGCTTTGATTGAGGATCTTATTTCTCTATCCCCCAAAAATAAGGTTTTCTGTTATTGTTTGTCAGCTGTTGGAGGCTGCCCCGTTAGTTGCTCGTACTTGTGTGCACTCTCTCTCCCTCTCTCTCTCAATCTTTCTATCCTCTCTTTTATCCCTCTCTGGTTTTGAGCTTTTCTCTGCCTGCGCCGTTGACTTTGCCTTTGCGCTGCTTTAGCTTCATTTGCTTTGGTCGCCGCCTTTCAGTTACAATTCGTATTCCAATTGGAACGCCGCGATTTTCCTGCGTGCTCACTGATTTTCCTTGAGCTTTTCTTCTTTTGGCCGCGTCTCGCCTGGCTGCATTTGTATTGGTATTTGCAAACCATTCATTCGCATGCAATTTGTTTGTGCAACTCGGAAAATTATGAAAAGTTAATCAACTGAGGGAAAAACAACAACAACAACAGCAACGAAAAACGAACATGAAATATCACAAAATAAAAGTAATATTTTGGCAGGCGAACAAATTGCATTTGACCCGCTTAAATCGTGTTAAACTTAGTTTTTTTTATTGTGCTTTTCATGTTTCTAATTTGCCCAAAAACTGCCAAATGACCTTCGAATGCTGTTAGTTGTTGTTTTTGTCTCTTTTGTACATTTTCGGTGCGTGTAATTCGGTCGACAGAGAAGCCGACTGCGTCGTCGTCAAATGCAAACAAAAACAAAAACAGAAACACAAGAAATAATTAACCCAACGTCATCAAGTTTTAATGATCAAAATGACGTTATATAATCTGTGAAAAGGAGAAAAACAAAAAAAACCTCACTGAAAAACAGTACTTCAGACAATTTAATGTTTTGAGATTCTTGCGGTTAATTTAATTAAGTGATTAGATCACTGCTTTATATGCAAATTAGAAAAAATGTTTAAGAACAATGGAGAGGGTTAAAGGTTGACAAAGAGTATATAACTTGAGATTTTAGTTCAGCTTTTTGTTATACAAATTTACTAAAAATTCAGTAAAAAATTAAGCAACTTAAAAAACTTGAAACTTATTTTTGGCAACCAATTTGCCTTAATGTTACGGTGGCGTATACGCATTTTATCTTCCTCTTTTTTATGATATTCCGCAAAATGCTTATCAAAGTTGTGATACGACGCCTGGCAGCTGAAAAATAACATAAAAACGATAAAAATAGGACCGAAAATTTAAACAGAAATGTTATATTATTCAGTGCCCTGAAAATGTCATTTAAATATTAATTGATTTTTCGAATTAAGCGGTTAACCCGCAAATAAATTGCAAAACAAATACATACAAAATTCGGTAATTGTTTGCAGTTGTTCTTCTTCTTAATTTTCACCTGATAAGATTCAGCAACGTCAATAAAAAAAAAAGAAAACAAAAACAAAATAAATGCTAGTTAAGGCAGCAAAAAGTATACAAAAAATAACAAGAATCGGAATTGAAATGGAAAAGGGAAAAGGTGATAAGCAAGCGACAAGCCAAAGGGGAAACGCAAATTTGTGAGGAACCAAGGTGATAAAAATAAAGGCAATTAAAGTGCTCAGATAAGGAGAAAAAAGGGGAAAGAGCGAAAAGCGTTTGCTAAGCGGTAGCAAAAATGTTTAAAAAAAAGTTGTAAACACTTTGGAAGGGAAAATAAAGTAAAGGAAAAAAGTCTGTAATCTTTTTAGAGGAATTAGAATTAGATTTAGAAACTATTTTAGGGCTATTTAAGCTAAAGACTAGTATATCAACTTTACATTTACATTCTTCTAATTAATTGCATTAAAGAAAATCGTGTTAAACACAACACATACAGTTAGTAATCATAACTAATTAGAATGAATACTGACCACAAAATAGAGAGAGAGCGATAAATTACAGAGAGTGAAAGATCAGTTTTATTCGCGGTATTCAGAACGTAACCCATTTGGCAATGATGACTGTTCCGTTCTGTCAACATCCGCGCCAGCTGCTGAATTTAGCTTATTAAATTTCTGTTGTTGTTTTTAGCAAAATGTTTTGCCCCACAAAGGCAGTTGACATTTACAGTGAAATAAAGTAGTGACACGGTGGAAATAATCAAATAAAAGAAAATCAAATCAAATAAAACAAAAACGTAATAGCGGACTGTAACGAATCGCTGACCAAAACAAACGGAAAAAACAATGTAATTGTTGAAATGTAAATCGACGCCTAAAGTGCAACAAAAAAAAAAAAAAAAAACACACACAAAGTAAACAAAAAGAGAGAAAAACGAGGCAGCAACAATAGCCAGTGAAAGGCGGGTGGAAAAGTGAGAAAAATTTGTGGAAAATCGGGCGAAATAATGCGGCATTTAATCATGACCCCGGCGTCGCTGTCGGCTTCGACACCGACGCTTTCCACGCTGCATCACCAGCGCATGGCGCTCCAATCGCAGTCGCAGTCGCCGCTGACGTCGCCGTTAACCCCATCGCCGTCATCGGGCTGCGGCTCGCCCAAGTTCCCAGCGAATTACGAGCGCAGCGAAAAAGTGAGTTCAAAACATAAGCAAATAAAAAATCAGACAACAAAAAAAAAAAACTTGGCAAAAAAAAATTGTTTGAAAAATGGCATGTCCCTCCTCCCCCCCTCATACAAACCAAACAAACAAAAAAAAAATGACGACCCCATCATAAATTACTCCATATTGTTCATGAATGGATCCACGAGTGCAGCAGCCGCTTGTTTTCCATTAATTATGCTTCTCAGTTTTTAACCCCTCTGCTATGTTTTTTTTTATTTTACCCACCCGATGTCGTGCATTTTCCACGCGTTCATTTATTTTTGATGCAAATGCCCCCTTTGTGGGGCAATAAAAGTTCAGTGTTTTTGGTGGGTGAAGCGGGACTTTAGCACTTGACATTTCAATTTAAGTTTTTCTTGGACTTTTGCTGGTTTTTGCCGGATTTTGCTTTGGCCAATATGCCAAGAAGCTGTTGCAGATTTTCTTGGGGTTTATTTGCATTTCTTTTCGGCAAACTTCTTCGTTTTCTTGCTTACATTGGCCGTTTACATTCTGCAAAGTGTAACAGAATGTTAAGTCTCTGCAAAGAGCTCTGCTCTGTTATTCTCAATGTTAAGAGAATGTTAAGAGTAGTTAAGCGACTTTTAAATTAAATTTTTACAACAAAATATTTATTTTTTAGTTTAAGAGTTAAAAAACTAAACTAAAATTGTATTTACTTTGTTTTTTCAATTTGAAAAATTTGTAATATTTGCCTGTCCGCCCTCTCATTTGACCTTCATTAAGCCCAAAAGCGTATGATCTCTTAATTATTACCAAAGTTCATTTGCTTTTTTCATTTTTTTGCCGTTTGTTAGGCAACTTTTCTTGTTTGGCAAAACGCAAAAATCGCAGCAAAACTTTTGCAAATGTCAGCAGAAAGCAATTTGCGGCAAACAATTTTCTAATTTGTTTTTCCCTCGTCGGGGAACTACAACAGAAAAGGCTGAAACTTTTCAACGTTCGACTTGCGTAATGCGCAATAATTAATCAGCAACCCGGCTGAGAAGGGGGTATACTGATTTAACAAGTTTGTTGTCTGTTCTCCCCTTAGACAGGTGCCAAAGTTCAAGGTCAAATCAGCGGATAATCAAACAGCATTTTTGCACGCAATTTGCATTTTCCTTTTGATATCTCTCTGAGTAAACCTTTCGGTTTCATTATTGGCAACTATGTTGCAAGATAAATGGTTTCTTTTTTTTTTTTTTTTGTAGAGAGACTAGAGATGAAAACTGGGAAAAATCATTTTCACAGCCGCTTTGAGCTTTTTGGAGCAGAAAACATTTGCTCGTGAGGAGGAGTTGAGTTTTTCCTGCATTTTCCTTATGTCTAGTATGCAGATGGATGCTTTTCCCCCTCTTTCTACACGACTGATGGACATAATTGCCACACAACAGAACCACGCCCACCACCCGCAGACCACCACAAACAAGCCAGCAACTTCATTTGCAGCCGTAATTGTTTTGGCCCATATGATCCATTCCCTCGATTTTCCACTTGCACATTGCTCATACGCCGTGTTATCTGCGCTGGCTACTTGGCAAATTGAAAGCAAAATGTGCAGCCACTTTGCCTCTCCTCGGAAACTCGATTTTCCTCTTTTTTGTTCTACTTTTCTCTTGACTAAAACAAAAACAACAAAAAAAAAAGAGCAAACCAAAACCAATGCAAAGTCGTCTTGCCAGTCTTGTCGGCGGTGTTTTCTTCTAATGACCAGCCTCAGCCTCTCAGTTCAGCGCTGGGAAAGTGTTCATCAAGACTGACTCTTGTCGTTTATCATATTTCGCTATTAGTCGCAAAACACGACTTTCTAACGGCACAGAAAGTAAAGTGTCGTTTGCCGATTTGTAAGCATTTATCAAGCGTCGAGTCGAGTTGGTTTCCTATGCAGACTTTCTTAGTCGGCGATGGCTTTTCTTCTCTTCTAAATATGGCCTAAACGATGGCTCTTTGTATGGCAGTCGGACACAAAGTGAAAACTACTTTTGATTAGCAGCCCCGAGTTTGTGTGTTTAATCATTCTTATTTAATTTGCTCGGGGGAATTGATTTGTCAGCTTTGGGATAAAAGAAAGATTAAATGTTTGCTGGGAAATTGCTGAGATGGTTGCTTGATGTTTTCCTGGCTAAAACCGGCTAAGCGGATCACAATTAGCGGGGTTTTAAGTTGGTGATTGATATGTCAGGCTGGGAAAACTTGGCTTGATGAAGAGCATTTTTGTTTAAAGAGTTTTGAGGGGGAAATGTAGGTAAGGTAACCAGTTAATATGAAAGCTTATAGTTTGCATTTAAGTTTGCCATTTAAAAAGCTGCTTCAAACATTGTCTTCATCTCTAGGCAAAGAAAACATTCAATTAATTTCCCATAACTTCTGTTAATACCAGATATAAACTTATCTCCTTCCTTGTGATTTCCTGCTGACATCATGTAATTATTTTGGCCAAATAATCGCTTAAATTTGGCAATTGTGGGTGGCACTTATCACGAGGCAAATGTGTTTTTGATAACACAGAGCATAGCTATAGTTTATTTGGTTTTTTCTTCAGGCCAATATGAACTCATGGTGAACGTGAAATAATGATGTAAAAAAGTGAGTGTAGGCGTTGCAGGAGTTGCACCTTAATTAACTTGACTCGTGTTGTAGAGTGGCAGTTTATGGCCGGCCAGTAGTGCCATTTGGGATTTTCCACCGGCAGTTTTCCACACTTTTTACTTTTTGGCAACGTTGTGAAAGGAAGCGGATGCACTTGACTTGACTTGATTTTTTTTTTTTATCTATTTTTTTCCTTTCTCGTTCATTTTCCACTTTCGTTGGCCAGAAAGAATGCCATGAAATGATTAATTAAAACTGATTTAAGCATTTAAATCATTGCCATTTTAATCTGTGGCGTCTTTTCCGCTTTTCACTTGGCATGGCAGCGCGGAAATTCTGAGGAAAAGCCATGTCCAGTTCAATGGCTATGAATAGACGGGGGTCTTTGTGCCATGACTACAGCATTTTCCACTTCCACTGTCTACCAGTCCTCCAGCTCTCCAGCCAGCCCTACCCCAAAAGTCATACATCATTTATCCCCGGCCGTATGGTATCACTTCTTTTTCTCGATTTTTCTTTGGTGCAGAAAAATAACAGAAAACTGTATCAATATATGCGGCATATGCATCATGAGTCAGGCCTAGAGATGAAAAAACGAAAACAAAACAGCAGTCTGTGTTGTCTGTGCCCCAACCCATGTTGGCCTCAAAATGTAACAAAATATGCTTACCACATACAGTGGGGACTCGAAATTAAACGAATGAACGTCATCTTAATGAGGTTATGGGGGATAAATCTGTTATCAAGTGATATTGATGTTGAAATTTGTTAGGTTGATAGAAAAAGAAGAAACTTTATTCAGAGAAATATGACTATAAAGATATTTGAAAGAAAATCCATTCAGATTTTAAAACATAAACCCACTGTACTGCCAATTTATATGAATGTTCAACTTGGCAATACTTTACAGCTGTTGCTGATTTTTTTTTCTGATTTTCTCACTGTCGAACTTTGGCGTTAAAATGCATTTTTTTTTTGTTATAAGAAAAACCAAGAAAAAAACGTGCTGCTCGTTTAATTGAAAGGCTTTTGGGCATGCGACAAAACACGACGAAATATTGAAAGTCAAAGCGACCGCTCCTGCTGCAGATCTCCAGATTGCAGACTTCAAGATTAGGCAAAAGTCAACCTATATTGAAACAATATCCGAGTCTTAATTTATGCCCCAGCTTTGGCTTTGGCTTCGCCCCGGGTCTAAGTCTATAAGCCGCCGCTGGCCGAACAATGAAATCAGCTTTAAAAAAAAAAGGCAGTGGAAAAGAAACCACTCACTTACTTACCAGGCTTAAAACCACCAGGCTTAAATCACCCCCACCACAACCCACTGGGAGTCAACATGCAAGCCACCTCAAACTTGGAAGCCAAAGTGGCAATGCATTAGCCTTCTTGGGGTTACTCTTAGAGATTTCAGGGCTTGGACTCTATGATTGTGTGGGAAATATATCAAATAATTAAGAAATTAAAATAAAGTTAGTAAGCTAATCAAAGATATTAGAAACCGAACCAAAAATCATGAAACCCTTCTTAACCATTACTAAAAGAGTCTTACTGAAGAGTCTTTTGACCTTACTTTCAGTATCTCAATATCCTCAATCAAAGTTAGAACTTATAAACTAATAATTATATTTTAAAGATTTCCAATCTAAACTGAAGAGTAAAGTCAATTCGTCACGTGAGAAGTCCATTAGCCATTTGCCTTTTTAGTCTTTGATCTCTTTGCATTTTCTCTCTTTCTGAGTGGTTGGAAAACCCCCTACTTGCCGTGGCCTGGGGCGCTAATATATGCTAATCCCCAATGCGCTTTTTGGATCCGCCGACTATGACACACCCACGCAAAGTCAGGAAAAATCGCTGGCGGAAAAGCAACAGAGAGCAGCAGACCAGTCTAGAGTAGCCTTTGCTGCTGTTTTCCTTCTGTCTTTTTTTTTTTTTTTGGGAAAGTCGCCTTTCGTCTTTCTTTCCTTTTACTTTCAACTTTTCCCCGGTCGCTCTGAAACGGCTTTTCCTTGATGCATTTTGCATTCAAGCTTCTCGTATTGAAAATCTGCAAGCCGATAGCTATATGTATATTATAGCTTTTCTTGGACTGATCTCGTTTGCTAATTTTCTGTGCGGCCATGTGGAAAACGCTTGGCCGCTTGGCCGAACGCCTCAAAACACTGTTTTCCCTTTTTTCTCGCTTTTCCGTAGGTATAAGAGCATAGTATATATATATATATATATCCACCTTTTTGTGGGAGCAGTCACCCATAGTGGCGCATTTTCTGGATTGTAATTTTCCAAAAGCGAGAGAAAAAGTGTTTGGGCCATTTGCATGATTAATGTTTTTGGCCAGCTCGCAGCCAGCGTTCGTTTCAATTTCAGTTTTCTTGGGTTGGGCTCAGTTCAGTCTTGGG